TTTAAAATAATAATTATATATTTCAGAAACTTATGTATTTTAAAGCTGAACTCCAGAGATGATATATTTTGCATACTTACATTGGACCAACTTGGCACAATGTAAGTGTGTATATTTACTGCTCAAAAAAATTAAAGGAACACTTTTTAATCAGAGTATGGCATCAAGTCAATTAAACCCCTGGGGTATTGATCTGGTCATTTAAGTAGCAGAGGGGGGTGTTAGTCAGTTTCAGCTGCTTTAGTGTTAATGAAATTAACATGTGCACTAAATGGGGAACAATGAGATGACCCTCAAAACAGGAATGGTTTTACAGGTGGAAGCCACTGACATTTTTTTCCCTACTCATCTTTTCTGACTGTTTTTTGCTAGTTTTGCATGTGGCTAGGGTCAGTGTCATTACTGGTAGCATGAGGTGATACCTGGACCCTACAGATGTTGCACTGGCAGTCCAACTCCTCCAGGATGGCATATCAATATGTGCTATTGTCAGAAGGTTTGCTGTGTCTTCCAGGACAGTCTCAAGAGCATGGAGGAGGAGATTCCAGGAGACAGGCAGTTACTTTAGGAGAGCTGGGCAGGGCCATAGAAGGTCCTTAATCCATAAGCAGGACCAGTATCTCCTCCTTTGTCCAAGGAGGAACAGGATGAGCACTGCCAGAGCTCTACAAAATGACCTCCAGCAGGCCACTGGTGTGAATGTCTCTGACCAAACAATCAGAAACAGACTTCAAGGATGTGGCCTGAGGGCCTGACATCCTCCAGTGGGCCCTGTGCTCACTGGCCGGCACCATAGAGCTCGATTGGCATTTGCCATTGAATACCAGAATTGGCAGGTCCCCCACTGGCACCCTGTGCTTTTCACAGATGAGGGCAGGTTCACCCTGAGCACATGTGACAGACGTGAAAGGGTCTGAAAAAGCCCCTTCTGAAGATGTGCGTGGTATGAAACGCTTAAAGAGAGAGCTAATACGCCGTGACGTCACGCTGCCGTAGCCTCGTGAAGGTCCGGCTGCCATCTTACTAAGTGGACAGTCAGTCCTTAGCATTTTATTATCGCAATTTATCTTGGCATTTGTTGATTTTTGGAAATAAATTACTTTATTCAATTTACTACACTATGGGCACCTATTTGTTTGGCTCCCCTGTTGAGCTATTAATTTCCAGAGCCCACCCAAGAGCTGTAATCCATCCCAGTATCCAGAGGAGGGAGGTCCTGTAAACAGGCTGCAAACACCCATCCATCCCTTAAAGGGGACCTCTGGCTGGTTGGATTCCTTTACAACCCAGGGACACCTGCTGTGCTGTATGCTACCCAGAGGGAGGATATTCCATACCTGGCCTATCTCGCTTCCTTAAAGGGGACCTCTGAGTGTATATTTACATGCGTATTTCCAATACGCATCTGGTGAATGTGTAATTTTACCACATCTTCAAGCACAAGCATTGAAGTATTTCCATTACTGCAACTGGCACCCTAGCACGGATTGTCACTTTATGAACTTTATATTTAATTATATATATCTTATTGGGTCTTAATTACGGACATTGTTATAACATAAGCGCTGCACTTGGATCTTATACATATGGGCTGTTGATTGGTCTGAAATTTAAAGGCACATAGCACATTAAAGTTAGTGTTTTTTCAGTGACCGGCAACAAAGGTTCTTCCCTTTCCCCATTCCACCCAAAGCTAAAACTTTTTTGACCATCTGGTGAACTCCCATGCCACTGGCAGCTACCCTGACGTAGATGAACTGTACGCAAGGTTGAGCAGAATTTCTACGCACTGGTTTCAGTTGCCTTTGTTAACTAGAGAAGACCTTTGGTACATTGAGCAGAAATGTTTTGTTTTTCCCCGCACGGGACTTGTTTCATTTTTGTAGCAATGCTTCCCAAACCCATCCCCAAGTCAAAGCTTCGGTGCTTGTTTTGCAGGTACCCTGACATATGCATGGTTGGCATAATCGGGCATTTAGCAATTTGATTTTGAACCTCTGTGCATGTCCAAAGAATGAAATATTGCTGGGACTCAAGTATGGATACATTTTTGAAATGGTAGTTTAGAGGGATGTATTTTAGTTTTACTTATTGGCTGTCATTCTATATTGTAATTCCCTCAGGCACTCTGTATTAGTTGTAGATTCATGAAGTTGTTTGATATAGATCAACTTTGATTTGTGCGTTTATGGAATTTGAGCAACTGGAATTGTCAATTAGGACAATATTCAACTGTGACCATGTGTTTTTGTGTTTCTTAGGCTACTTTCACACTGATCCGCCGCAAAAACGCATAGGCATTTTTACCGCGCTTTCTGAACACTTGTAAAGGACAAGTGACTTAACTGCACCAAAAACACTTCCCTGGGGCATTTTTGAGGTGCTTTTCAGGCTTTTTCCATTGATTTCAATGGGAAGAGGTGTTTTTGGGGCATTTGTTTTTTAACTCCCCAAACATACCCCAAAGATGCTGCAAGCAGGAATTTTTAGACCGCAAGCGCAACATAGATATACTGTACATTCACATACATAGGGAAGCATTTTTTCTTGAGCTTTTCAGTTTTTTTTTTTTTTTTTAACACAAAAAAGCTTCAAAAACTCCTTAGTGTGAAAGTAGCCTTAATAATTCAGTATTTTCAAAAATGCCTGAGATGCAGTACAGCCAGTTAGATGTGAAAGAGTGCCTTTGTCAACAGGGCTTGTGTCGATGTCATCAGTTCTACATCAGTTTTAGATGCTTATGAGATCATTCAGAATACACTGATGGATGCATTTAACCTGCTTCAAATGGGTTGTAGATTCCCATAGACTTGTATGAAAATGCAAATCCTGTCTTATGCAAACAAAATTGACAGTACACTCAAAGTTTCATCCAACACATTTCGTCCAAAGGGACGTCACCAGGGGCTTTGAGCGTGCTGATGTCATGCGCTGCTGGTGAATCAGGTGGCATACTTATAAGCGTTACGGTCGGTGGGTTTATCCAGCTGTATTTATTTAGTGCAACTTCTAACATCCAAGTGAAAGATATAACCCCACAATGTCAGGGAAAAAAAAATTTAAAAACTGAATCACGGAGTTGGAAAAAGGATCACCCCCTGGTGTCAGTGATTTGTTAAACAACTTTTGCTTTAAGTACGGCCTTTAGTCTGTTGGGATATGTCTCTATTGACTTTGCACTTAGACTTTGCAATATTTGCCCACTCTTTTTCTTTGCAGAACTGAGCTGTATTGGATTTCTCCCAGACATAATGTTTAGTGTGGAGGCCAAATAATTCAATTTTAGTCTCATCTGAACACCTTTTTTCCATGTGGCCTCCAAATCTTCAAGGTGCGTTTTGGCAAAGCTCAGTGGTGACTGCATGTGGCCCCTCTTGAGGAGACAACTACAAGACAAAAATGAGGGAATGGGTTAAACTTGACTGCCGATTTGCTTGTTAAGCATTGCCGTCTAAACCATAAATTACTATAGATAGGAAAATCACCCCAACCACGAGGTAAAGCCCCGTGGTGGGACAAGCTGTTACTGAAACAGCAAACTATGCTTATGTCAAACAAGTATTTTCTTTAATTAAATTATCAAACAGTATAATTATCAAAAGATAAAATGATATCATATGTTTGAAAACACACAGTGCTCAATGCCCGTACCATAAATCACAAAACAAAAAACAATGTCAACATATAAATGTCTGGACGTCTTAAGTTATATATATTTTTCTCTTGAGGAGAAGCTTTTTTTCTTGCAACCCTCCCATACAAGACGTGTTTGTGGAGAATTTGTGATATTGTCACATGCACACAATGACCACTCTGTCATAAATTCCTGCAACTGCTTCAGAGTTGCTGTAGGCTTCTTGGTAGACCCTCTGACCAGCTTCCTCCTAGCTCTTTCTTCCAGTTTGGTGCAACGTCCTGATCCAGGGAAGGTCTGTGTTTTACCAAATACCTTCCACTTCTTAATAGTAAACTTCACTGTGCCTTTGAAATGTTTTTGTATCCATCTCCTGATTTGTGTCTATCTGCAACTTTTCCCGGAGATCTTTTGACAGCGCATTGCCACCCATTGTTGACTGTTTGCTTCACTAGCACTACCAGGGACTGAAATGGTCCAGGAAAGCTCTTTTCATGCTGAGCTAATCAAAATGACTGCAGCTGATCACAGTTGAAAGTCAAATGGCTTTGTGTGCCATCGAGAAGGTGATTAACTACACCTGTTTGAGGTTACAAGTCATTTTTAGGAGGGTGGTGATCCTTTTTCCAACTCAGTGATTCTGTTTTTGAATTTTTTAAAAAATTTTTTTTGACAGGTTGGTGTTATATCTTTCACTTGGATTTTATAAGATGCACTGAGTAAACACAGCTGGATAAAACTAAATTTGTGTATGTCTTCATTTCAGGTTGCAAAGCAACAAAATGTAATTATTTTAATAGGGGGGTGATTCTTTTCTATACCCACTGTATATCATGGCTTTTTATATATACTTTATTAAATGTTAATCCAAGGATAATGCACCAATAGGAGTCTTTTTTTGTCTTCTATAATTTACCTTGTACAAGATCACCTCTATTTCCCAAAAAGAAGAAGAATTGCAAGCTCAGTTATACTGATTGTACAAATGTGTATTAATCTCTTATATGCTCTGAGGTCTGGCAATCCAGTGCGGTTTTCACCTAGAGGTGACAGTGGTGGGCTCTTCATAGTGGATGAATCAGTTGGTATACAGGGTTGGAGGTCATTGGCTTCTTCTTGTTACTTGGCTGATTTGTGGTGTTTGGATCTGTGTTCACTGCAGTCAATGATTTGCCATTGAAGAAAAGAAGTACGTATATTGTTCTTCTTGTAAGTGGCTTGAGAAACTTTACACTAGTGCCAACGATGTCACTTAACTTTAAAAATTGACACAGACCAGAGCTAACACAGAACCTGTTGTATTAATCATTATGCTGTTTACATGTTACAGTAAATCCTATGTGTTCTTGTTTTTAGGTCTGGCACAATGGGGCTTGTAAGCGTGGAAAAAATAATTGCACTACAGAAAAAGGCTGAAAACATTCGGAATATATGTATATTGGCCCATGTTGATCATGGTAAGTAGTTTCTTGGCTATGGCAAGAGCAAAATGATTTCCTTTATAAGTTATGCTTGCAATTTAAATCCTCTTGTAGAAATAAGTTAAAATTGTGAGCCACTTATTTCCTGCTTTCTAGGGCTAATCTTTGTTGGTATGGATCATTTGGCCCTTCTCTCAGAATGAAAGCATGATTATGTCCATAAACAAGGAGGATCAGAAAGGAATAATCAGGCCCTTTAGTGATTAAACTCTCAGTTTCTTGACTGCAACGGCCCAGCAACTAACATTTTCAGAAGGAGGCCAGTAACGGCTTTCTGTATATTTCTCTAATGACAACTGATATCCGCATTAAGTTAATTTGTTCCTCTCTTCCCTGAGACCCATGCTGTGTTGCTTCACAAGTAGGAATACTTAAATTACTTGTAAATGTTCTTATAAAGGAACTGTTTAGCTCCACTTAAAAACTAGGAAGTCAAACATAGCATAGAAAGATCAGTAGCAATCTCACTAAGTAACCATCATAATATGCAGATTTACTTAACATTATTATGAATTCCAGCATCTTCTACATTAATATGCAGCACTGCATTTAGTAAAAGAATGCCTTGTGAAACTCTCGCCTTGTAAAACAACCCATTCAGTTTAAAATAGAAATGAAAGGCAGAACATTTGTGTATAGATATAAAAACATTATAAATACCTTTTTCAACCCCCCTCCTTCTTTTTAAAAAGTGATCACATAAGAGCAGCACACTGAGCTTCCCAGTGAATGGCTGTGTGCGGGAGGGGTGGGGTGTCGGGGCAAGTCTGATAATTGGAGGAGAGCAGGCTGCATTTCCAGCATACTGCAGCTAGGGAACTGACCACGCTGTGCTTTCTCATGCCTAATGTGGTCAGTTTTTAAGTACATGGTAAAGCAGGCACATATCAGGAATATGAAATATTGGGTTTACATATTCTTTAAGCTGCTTGTTCCATTGCCTTCCCCTCTCTGTCCTGCATACAGCAGAATGTACCGAGCATTGAATGCGCGGTCTCAGAAACTCATGAGCAAGCACTGAGCTTTATTCCCTATGCACGCATGCACAGTCCACTCTCTCTTGAAGCTCAGCATTCTGAGTGTGAAAGAGAGCTGACTGTGCATGCTGTGTCAGTAATTCAGAAAGTGCTGAAGACCGAGAATTGGTAAGGTTGACATTTACAGAAAGCTGGTCATCAATGGAAACACACATATTTCTCTTGGAACAGCTTTTCATTGAGACCATTGATGAATGATTGTGAGGTTAATCACCTGCTGATCCCATGTGGTTCTCGAGCTTCATGGTGGAATCTCTCTCCATGTCCTTGCACTCTGTTGGGCAATATAGTCTTATTCAGGTTGAACTCTTTATTTACGTCTATATAAAATGTATTAGGGGTCACCAGATTGTATTGTTTGGCTTCAACATCAAAAGGGGAACTCCAAATCGGTCCTGGTATTGGAGATGAGGGTTGTGACGGACCACCTGGCACTTTGCTTTGGGTGCCTTCGTCAGAGAACTGCTTCCTCACTGCTGAAACCCAGGAACAAGACATTATAGCTGGGCACCCAAGAACTAGATGACACTAACTTAGGTGTAAACTGGAACTATTTTATTGAACAGGAATACAGGGTTTTCTACACTTCAAAAATAGAGGCAGTCCCCACATGAACAATAAAAAACAAATATTACACATTGAGACAAACGCACACACAATCCCACACTGATTAGGTAACGAGGACAGCTTGATACCAGACTAATCCCATCATGTAGGGACCTCCCAGAAGGACTAGCCAACAGACAGAAACAATAGGTGACTCAATTAACAATGGGACAAAGACACAACAGTAAACAGATTACAGCAAGAGACCTCAGCATCAGGTTGTTTTAAGCAGATGATATTAACAGCTGCGCTGAGTCCTTGAGTCTAGGAGGGGGGGGGGGAGAGTTGAAGCAGTCAATGCTGGTTTGGGCAGAGAGACCCCAAATCTGTATTCTGGTCCTCCAGTTCTCAGAGTCTGTGTGTTTTGGGGAGACATGGATTTGAATCCAAAGTAAAACTACTCCAAAAGTCCCCCTAGGATCACACCTCCCAAGAATAGAGCCCCTCAGATGCCAGTGTCCGTGGTCAGTAGGCAAGAGGCTAGCCTTCAGTCCACTCCAAAAACCCCTCTTATAGTTGGGTCTGTCACAGGGGTAAGCCCATTTGGAAATTAAAAGTGATTTCTTTCCAATATTCTTGTTCAATAATCTTTTTTATTTTTTTGTGACGCAGTTGTACAGATATTACAATTATGCAGTAAAATATTTTGGGAGGATATGTATCAGTTGGGATCTACAGCGTACATAGTAGTTGGTTGTCTTTTGATGGAGGAAAGGGTATATTCACTAAGCACCTTTAACCACTTATTAAAGCGCCTTGAAAATGTCACTAACTGGGCTGGGGGTTCGTTATAGTGGGATAGAAGGGGTGGGAAGAAATGGGGGTAGAGGGTGGTAGGGACACCATAGGTGATCCCTAGTGGAGAAGATTGTTTCAATGTCTCGGGAAGAAAGTATGAAATCCAAGGTTGCCATGTCACTAAGTTTTGTGAATGTGGTCTAATATTTTAGTGATTCTGGATCTGGTTTTGGTTATGTGGAGAGTTGTACTTTCTAGGCTTTGCCTAAGGTTTGTTTTATTGCTGTGAGAATATACAGCATTAATCTGAATTGAGATTTGTGTAGGTGGAGCGGTCTTAGGTTAAGTAAGGGGTATTGTAGATGTACTGTGTAACCTAACAGTTTTCTTAACAATTGTTGATCAGTCAGGTCCACCAGGTAAGTCCAAGATCCTGCTTCTCTGCAGCCCTGGAAGCACAAAGGGCAGTAGCCTGATACATACTGGGCGATTCTAGTGAACACAAGATATCATCGTGTAAGTACTTTGTAGATGGTCTGTATGGCCAGAACCATACATTCACAATACTTGTATACAGCTACATACTTAAAGAGATGATGGGAACTTTTAGGCATTGTTCACACCATACACGCAGAAAAACTGATGGAAGGAAACGTGCAGATTTCACTTACAGAGACATCAGTTTTCATGCTCGTTTCAGTGAGTTTTATGTACATTGCAAATTCTTGCACAGAAGAAGTCTGCAGGTGATACCAGTGTTGCGGTGTGAAAAGGGCACATAGAGACCAATTGTTTTCTTTGTGCTTTTGCAGAACGTGTGCAGTGCAAAAAAGTGAAGTCTCTGCACATGGTGTGAACAAAGCCTTAGACTTGCATGTGTGGTCAGATGAAGGAAAACTTCAAACAAGCTCAATGGCTCTGGTGAGGAGCGCTCATATGGCAAGGTTTTCCACAATGAGCACCCAAACCATAGAAATGTGGAAGAGAGTACTAGACCAAAATCAGGTGAGAGAGTCCAGGATAATTTTAATTGTTGGTTAAAAAAACAAAAATCATTTAAAAACAGCCAACACATTTCATGGGTATCATCACTTCCCCTTCATCAGGGCTAAACACAAGATAAAACTTGGATGTGCTCAGAGAAAACGGTGATCTCACAGATTTATATTAGATCCAGAATTGAACTCTCTGTACAGAGTAATAACTTGACAGCAGTTGCTGAGCAGCAATGGAGGCTCTTACTGCTCAGCAACTGCTGTCTAGTTGTTGCTCGATGTGGAGAGTTCATTACTAGTTCTAATATAAATCTGTGAAGTCACTGTTTTCTCTGAGCACATCCAAGTTGTGTCCTTTGTTGTTGTCTAGTCCTAGATCTGTAGCCCATTTCTGGGTATACAGGGGGGTTTATTGCACCGCAGAAGGGGAAATCATATCATAGTAGGAAGAATACTTTCCAACGATCTTAACTCCTTCCCGCCGGCGCCTCCCAGCTCTTTAAGAGTTTCAGATGCCGGGAGGCGAGGCGGGTGGGGCGTGGTTTAGGAATCATGTGACCGCCATGACGCGTCATCACGGCGGTCACATGATCGGGAAAGGTCCCGATTGAAAGAGCGGACCGGGACCTTTTCGTGAGTACCACACGTGTGCTGGGAGCGCACAGGGCGCGCAGCGCGCTCTCAGCACATATGTTTTTTGCTACATGAACGCAAATGTGCGGCCGCTCGGCATCTAGGCCCAGACGCCGGGAGGCCGCACATTTGTGTGCGGCCAACGCAAAGGGGTTAAGTAAAATATGAATAAAAGTTGCGTGGTCTGGGAAAATGACAGTGATGCTAAAGGCTCAGTTTTTATGTTTTAAAAATAAACATGTCATACACCTGCACCTGCTACAGTGGTTTTGCGCAGAGCAGCCCCGATCCTCCTCTTCTCAGGTTCCCTGCTGGCCATCCTGCTGCTTGCTATGGGGGCACTCATGCATGCTTGCTCCCGAGTCGGCTCTGTGTGGCCATAAGACATACAGAGCACGGCTCGCCCCAAACCTGCGCCCCCCTGCTCCCTCCTCACTGGCTGTGATTGAGAGCAGCAGGAGCCGACTGCTGCTGTGTCCTGAGCCAGTGAGGAGATCCTCTGCTCTTAGCGTTAGGGTTTTTTATCTTAATGCATTCAGGTAAAAAAAAACCTTCTGGCCTTAGAACCACTTTAGGTCTACTTTCACACATATGCGTTTTCCATAGCGTTTTGCAGAAATGCACAGCAGTCCATTAAACATGATTTCCTATGGGATAGGTTCACATCTCCGCATTTCAGCCCGGTGCATTTTTTTGGAAGGGGTCAGGGACTTTTTTAAATGCAAAATATTGCATTTTTGGTACAGTAGACTTCAGTGGAGATGCTGCAGAAATGCATTTAGTGCGTTTTTGATGCATTTTAATCTGCCCAGCAACAAGTTGGAGAAAAAACGCAAAACGCGTCAAAAGTGCTTGTGCAAAAATGCACTGCAGAAAGCACTGCAGAAACAGATCAAATGCAAACTGCATAGGTGTGAACCTAGCCTAAGTGTTTCTTTTACACATACAGTGATGTTTCTGAGTAATTTATCTTTTATCTTCAAGTCTTTGTAGTATAATACAGTGTGGTGAGTAGAGGAGAAAGGGTTGACATCTTTGTAAGGGCTCATGTACACTGCAGCTGATAAACTCACGTTTAGGAGTTGTTCAGCATTTTTTTGAGCAGCCCCTGAACTCTCCCTAATGTTTTCCTATGTGTCCATGTACACATCGTCGTACACAGTCGTCGTTTACAGTCGTTTTTTTGAACGCAGAAAACTTGCCTTCAGGAGTAGATTTTATCAGCGTTTCAAACGCCAAACACTTGTAAACCGGGTTTATAAGTGTTTGCGTTTGAAACATTTTTTTTAACTCTTCCATTTCCAGATGCTGTCCAGAGCCTTTTTTCATCATGAAAAATCCATGCAAAGCATTTTCCCAGCACTCAAATGGACCTGGTACACCATAGTTTGAGGTTTACGCATGAAAGAAAATATGTTAGACACTGCTACAATAATTTCTCTGCACAGAAATGAGCTGGAACACATGCAAACACCACAAAAAAAAAGACAGTTAATCTCAACAAATACTGTTCTCTCTGCTTCTGCTCTCTCTATTTCTCTCAAAATGTCTGAAATAGTTATTTTTTTTAGTTTTTCAGAGCATTCTGGGCATTTGGGAAGGTCTCCTGATATCTTTAAAAAAAAACGCTTCTAAACGCAAATGATTATAAACCAGATATGCAAACGCAGCTAAACAGATGTTTTTTAACCTACATTTTCCGTCCTTCAGAAGTGTCCCGTGTACAGTACATGGAGCCTAAGTCTACTGCTCCTATATCTGAGCATTTACTCTGCAGTGTATGAATTAAACAAATGTGTGCAAAGTTTTATGTTGAAGGATTGGCTTTGCTATGACTTCGTGAATCTACTACAGCATATTTACCTCTAGGCTGTCAAATTTAGGATACAATATAAATACTTTTTTTGTTTAGTTATTAAAATTATTTTGTGAAATCTTATTACACAAAAATTTTAATTGTGTTGCTCTGTGGTTCACTGGTTTCTGGAAAAAAACATACTCTGTAATTACAGTTTTCTGTATACTTCGCTACAATTGTTTCATTTACAACTATATATCTCTTTTTGATTTTTATCTTGCAGGGAAAACTACATTAGCAGACTGTCTCATATCTAGCAATGGGATCATCTCCAGTAGATTAGCTGGAAAGGTACTTTCTGTCTCTGAGATGTTATGTACAGTATATAAGCTAGTGTGAACTCAGATAACTGATTGTTGATCATGGTTTGTTTCTTGATTTATTATTTGAATTGCAGTTGCGTTATTTGGACAGTCGCGAAGATGAGCAGATTAGAGGAATCACCATGAAATCCAGTGCGATCTCCCTGCAGTACAAATTTGGTAAATAAATGGACAATGTCAACTTTTTTTTTTTTTTTTTTAACCACTTACCGCCCAGCCACTGTAGATATACGGCGGCAGGGCGGCACTCGCAGGCAAAACCACGTTTTAAAACGTAGTCCTGCAAAACAGGCAGGGGGCGCGCGCCCGCCCTACCTGTCCCGCGAGGTGTCAGCTGCGGGTCCCAGCCGCTGGGTCACGGCCAGTGATTACCGGCCTTTTGGCCGCGATGAGCTGTGATCGCTGACAGATAGCAGGGCTGCATTGTTTACACACAGCCCTGTTATCTGTCAGTTGCCGTCAGCTCGTGACCAGCTGCAGAGGGAGAGAAGAGTTCTCTCTCTCGATCAGCTCCCCCCTCCCTCCCCCCCTCCAGCACACACCCCCGCCCCCTAGTAAAACACTCCCCTTACACAGTGAACACTAAAAATATTAACCCCTTCCTCCCCAGTGCCATTACTACAGTGTCAGTGTTTTTGTTTTTCACTGATCACTGTATTGGTGTCACTGGGGATGTCAGTGACCCCAAGTCAGTTCCTCCCCAGTGTCAAAATGTCCACCACAGTCCCGCCATGTGTCGCTGATCGCCGCCATTATTAGTATAAGTATAAATAAAATAAAAAATCCCAGTGTCTTTCCCGCCATTTGTAAACGCTATAACTTTCACGTAAAGCAAATAATTTACACGTATTGGGATTTTTTTTTAGCAGAGACATGTCGCAGAATGCATTTTGGATGAAATTTGTGACAAAATTAGATTTTTTTCATTTTTTTTTTTTTACTGGACATGTTTTATAGCAAAAAGTCCAAAATATTGTTTTTTTTTTTCTCAAAATTGTCAGCCTTTTTTTTAATAGCGCAAAAAATTTAAAACGCACAGGCGATCAAATACCACCGAAGGAAAGCTCAATTTGTGGGAAAAAGAAGGATGTAAATTTAATTTGGGTGCAGTGTTGCATGACCGCGCAATTGTCAGTTAAAGTAACGCAGCGCCGTAACACAAACCTCTTCTGTAACCGCTTCCTGACCACCCTACAGCAGAAATACTGCTACAGGGCGGCATGGGTACGCAAAATCACATATATATATATATATATATGTAATTCGCGCTCCCGTAGTTTTCACACCCCTCCCAGATAGCGTCAGATTGCCCGTCAGTACACCAGTCATCACATTTAACCCCTTGATTGCCAGGAGCACGCCCATGTACAATAAACCTCCATAGTATAGTGTCTGAATGGGTCAATATCTTTGATCAGATCAGCACTATACCAGCATTCACATTAGTATAGCGTCCCCAAAAACGCAGCGTTAGCGGGATCAGCCCCTGCACCTGCCAACACCTGCGTTTAGCCCCTACGCTTACCACCCCTTCTCTCCCAGCAAGTGCAGTGTCAGTAGGTCACTGTCACTTGATACATTGCACACAAAACCGCAGTGTTGCAAAATCAGGCCTGATCTCTATTAGCACTTGCCGGTAAATATTGATGACTCTCATATGCAGCAGAGTGCCAGTACTAGTGCTGCGCTACCTTTTGGTGAACTGGCGAGTACCAGCGGTCTAGTACATCTTGGTCTTTCACATACCTCCTTGATTTTTGGAGCTGTTTTTCACGGAATATCTGTATGCGTTGATTGTGGTTCAAAGCAGTCTATATGCACAACAATTTATTGCACCAACCCAAATTCAAACCTTGCCAGACCATTCGCATGGAAACTCATTACGGTTTTCAAATTTACATTTTTTTGGGGCCTAACCCTCAACACAGCTGCAGGCATCATCCTGGTATCGTTTTTTTTTTCAGCCGGTGATCGGCTTTCATGTAAAAGCAATCCTAGTGGCTAATTAGCTGCAAGATTGCTTTTACAAGCAGTGGGAAATGATGTCCCCCCTCCCCCGCTGCCTTCCACGGCCTTCTCGGGCAGTCCCGTGCCATCATGGAAACCTGAGAATGCAGCCAGTGTTTCTGCCAGCTGACCATAGAGCTGATTGGACACCAGAATGATGCCAATCATCTCTATAGTCTAAGAATTCGGAAGCTACAAGCATTTCATCACTTCAGTTTCACAGGATATAAACAGCGCCATTTGTAAATTGGGAAAGCATCTGATCACACCGATTTTGGTTTGATTAGATAATGTAAGGGCAGAGGAGATATCTAGAGTCTGATAGACCCCAGATTTCTCAAAAAAGAATATATGACAATGCCCATTGAAGTTATAGGGGTTATTTGCATTCCCTGTTATAGCATTAAAAGTGAAAAAAAAAAAAAAAATGAAAGGTACAATGTAAAAATAATAAAAAAAAAAATCAAAATAACTATAAAAAAAAAAAAAAATTGCCCCTCCCATGTGCACACACCTGTGTGCACAAGCCTTGACCCTGTGCCGTTATGTAAACAGCGGTTGCACCATGCATGTGAGGTATTGCCGTGAGCGTCAGATCAAGGGCAGTAATTCTAACACTAGACCTCCTCTGTAAATCTAAAATGGTGGCTTTTAAAGCGCTGCCTATGGATATTAAAAATGTTTGCAGTTTGTCGCCATTGAACGGGGAATGCGCAGTTTTTAAAGCATGTCATGTTTGGTATCTATTTACTCGGCATACCATTATCTTTTATATTTTCCAAACAATTGGCCAATATATTGTGTTTTTGTGCATTAAAAGTAAAAAAAGTGTATTTTTTAAAAAAAAAATTGCATTTGAAAAATCGCTGCGGGAGTACTATGTGCCATAAAAAATTGTAGTACTCGCCATTTTATTCACTAGGGTGCCTGCTTTAAAAAAATATATAATGTTTGGGGGTTTAAATTAATTTCCTAGCAGAAAATACTGATTGTTTTCATGTGAACAAAAAGGCTTGGTCTTCAGGTGGTTAGAAGAGTGAATGAAGTGTGGCATAAACTTTTAATGCTGGGCATACAACGCCCCCACCCCCCAAAATGACCCCTTTTTGGAAAGTAGTCACCCCAAACTATTTGCTGAGAGGAATGTTGAATCAATAGAAGAATTTATTTTTTTACCACAAGTTTTTGGAAAATGACAAAAATATATATTTTTTTTTTTACACAAAATTGTCACTTAAATTATTATTATTATTATACAGTATTTATAAAGCGCCAATAGTTTCGCTCAGCGCTGTACATTACAGAGGGGGACAGAACATGTGACAGAACAATACCAATACAATGCAAAACATGAGGGGATCGAGGGCCCTGCTCTTTCAAGCTTACAATCTAGGATTTAAATGATTTACTGCTCACACATGCCATGGTGGTTATATGTGGAATTACTCCCCAAAATACATTTTGCTACTTCTTCCGAGTATGGGGGTACCACATGTGAGAGACTTTTTGGCAGTCTAGCCAAGTACAGGACCCCAAAATCCAATAAGCACCTTCAGGCTTTTTATTTCCACATTACACTTCCAGACTACCTATCACAGTTTCGGAGGCCCTGAGATGCCAGGATAGCACCTAACCCCCCCAAATTACCCCTTTTTGGAAAGTAGACGCCCCAAGGAATTTGATAAGAGGCACGGTAAGTATTTTGCAGATCTCATTTGTTGCCACAAGTTTTTGGAAAATGAAGAAAAAAAAAACAAAAACATATTTTTTCTATTCTTTTTTTTATATTTCAAAACCTTGTGAGAAAAAATGAGATACTTTCCAGACAGGGGTCAGCCGGGTGCCCAGTGCACATGCGTGAGAAGCGCTGCGCTTTCTGATTGGTCCGGCGTCTTCTGGGACCTGTCATGTGTCCCAAAAGACGCCGTACTATTCACAATGCGCAGTGATTCTCGCACATGCGTACTGGGCACCTGGCTGTCACAGCCGAGAGCCCACACTAAAGATGCCGATGCGGGAAGCTTTCACAGCGCTGGACTGAGGAACAGGTAAGGTCCTGCTGCAGAGAAGAGATGAGCGGCCGGCCCGATATTCTGACACGGCAGAGGCGGTGGGAATACCGGACCGGCCGCTCCATATTCGCTCCATGACACGCACTGACATTTTCCCCCTTTTTTGGGGAGAAAAAAGTGCGTCTTTATGGAGCGAAAAATACGGTAATTGTTTGTGTATTCAGTTCTAGAAGTCATAAGTAATGATTTCTGTGCAGTGCTCAGTATCGTAATCCGTAGAGAAACAAATCAAAAACTGCAAATAAGATTAGCCACTGCCCCCCACTGCCCCCGCTTTTCCATTACTACCATTTAAGTTTAGATATGCTTTAAAGGATAATATGCATTTAAATGCAAATAAATGCTAAAATATTTGGTTTGCTGCAGTTAGTACACATGTATGAAGGAGGGCAGTTATTCTGAGGGGAGTTTATCAAAACTGGACCAGCCAGAATCTAGAGCAGCTGTGCATGGCAAACCAATCAGCATATATCTTTCATTTTCAAAGCTTAAGTAATCAAGCTGAAGATAGAATTTGATTGGTTGCCATGAACAGCTACTCCTGATTCTGACAACTCCAGTTTTGATAAATTCCGCCCTCTATGTTTTATTACACTGCAGGAGTATCCATCAGGGTTCTTACTTTTCATTTATCCTTACCAGATATAATTTTATGCTTACAGCTAAGTGAGTTCTTTTTTTTTATTTTTTTTTTTTTAGGGGATGAAGATTATCTTATAAACCTCATAGATTCTCCTGGGCATGTTGATTTCTCATCAGAGGTTTCCACTGCAGTGCGTCTCTGTGATGGTGCTGTTATTGTGCTGGATGCAGTGGAAGGTGTGTGCCCACAGGTAAGCACAGCACAGCACATTTGACTGCAAGATTAGGCTATTACTGATATAACACCTTTTAGACGTTTGCTAGAAAAATTTATGTTAAAGTATATGTAAACCATTACCTTGTAAAACATCCATTCAGTTTTAAAACAGAAATGAAAGGCAAAACATTTGTAATTATTAAACTGTTCCCGCCCTGCCAATAGCAGAATGACTGCCAAGCAGGACTGTTAGAGAGCCAGTTGGGCGTCATATGACATCCTTCCAGGATCACGCCTCGCGCATGCCTGCGTGGCCGTGCTGTTGCGGGATCTGTCACTGGCGGTGTACCTCGGACACAGCCAATGACAAATCTGTGTTCCGGCCTGTTGCCAGTACCATGTGACCTGCGGTGACCAATCACAGCAGGTCAAAGACAATTGTAAACAATGGACAGCATTCGTTCATGCTATCCATTGTATACAAATGTGTCACAGCCTGTGTCATGTGATTAGCAGTGGCCAATCACAGCAAAAAACCTGAATGAATCAATTTCATTCAGTTAAATGCTTGCTTATAGCAAAATAAATTATTTGCTGTAAGCAATCATAATGTGTACAAAAAAAATACTGATCACTTCCCCAGAGTAGTACAATGTTAATATTGTAACATTATACTACTCTGGTCACAGTGTATTATGTAAAAAAAAGTTTTTGTTTTTTTTTTCTGTGTACTGTCACTAGTCAGTGTCCCTGATGACCACCACACCAGTTATATGGTGCACTGGTGACAGTATGTAATAAACATAAAGAAAATTATGAAAATTTTTTTTTTTCATTTTTCAAAAAAATGCCAACAGATTACAACTTCAGAAAAATCGCCATGCCTCTTACTAAATACCTTGGACTGTCTACTTTGCAAAAAAGGGTAATTTGGGGGATATCTGTACTGTCCTGACATTTCTGGGTTGCAATAAATTACATTGGCCGTCAGTACTTCAGGATTGATTGATTTTAAGATATATACCATAGTTTGTGAACTATATAACTTTCCTACAGACTAAAAAAAAGATACTGATTTGGGTTATTTTCAACAAAGACATGTAGCAGAATATATCTTGGCCTAAAGTTAAGATCAATTATTTGCAAAATTTTATAACAAACAAAATTTTCAGCCTTTTTTCATTAATTTAGCAAAAAATAAAAACCTCAGTGGTGATTAAATATCACCAAAGGAAAGCTCTAGTTGTGTGAACAAAATGATAAAAATTTAGTTTGGGTATGGCGTTGCATGACCGCACAATTGTCATTCAAAGTGTGAGAGCGCTGAAAATTGGCCTGGGCACAAAGGGGGTAAAAGTGCCCTGCATTGCTGTTAAAGCGGAGTTCCACCTGAAAAAAAAAAAAATAAAATAAAAGTCAGCAGCTACAATAACTGTCGCTTACAGTCACTTACCTGTCCCTCGGTCTAGCAGTGTCCTCACCATGGCTGGTTTCACCGGCCCTCTTCTCTCCCTGGCGCCAGCATTTTCAGTGTGGGCATCCGGCTTTGACAGCTTGCAGCCAGGTGCCCATTGCGCATGCACGAGAAGCGCTGCGCTTTGTGAATGGCCCCGTAGTTTTCTGGGACCTGTCACGTGTCCCAGAAGACTATGGGGAGGGAGGGGGGAGGACAACTTCCGCTTTCAATTGCCTAGGCGGGTACCTGTCAAATTCAGGTACCCCGCTCCCCAAAGGTGCCAATCCATAATTGGAAGTGGGGGACAAAGGCTTAAAGCGGAACTTACCCTTTTGGGTGGAGCTCCGCTTTAATAACCTTATAAATACCTTTTGTTTTCCCCTGCTTTAAACAGTACGGGGAGTGGCAGGAACACCAGGCATTCAAAACAAAGGAAGCAATACAAAGAGAAAAGGATAATTTTTCATAAAAGTACATGGTACATACAACAAGTATATATATAGAACATGAAATCTTGGGTTTACATATTCTTTAATGGCAACACTGAATAACACATAGCAAGGCTGTGTGCAGATTACAGGTATTCATATATGGAAAATGTTTACTCTGTTTATAAATATTGTTGGCTTGCAATTAAAACTTTTGTTTTCAGTTACATTTTTGTAGGTTAAAATAGAATGTTTCTGTATCTGTTTTTCATGTACATTTTCATACATATGACTATTCAGTCCTTCCTGTTAAATTAAACTTTTAACAAACTATGTCTTGCCTGCTTCACCCAATGAGCTGCTGGAGCCCCCCAAAAAATCCCATGCAATTACTAACTTTTTGCAAACTGGTATAGGCACAGGGCTAGGTTCACCTTTTTCATTACAGTCCATAGTGCTGGCTAAAGGTCACTTAATTACTGCTAGATGGGTTAGGAAGTTTGTTTTCCCAATATTAGGAGGTTTGGGCTCTTTAAAAGGCTACAACAGAGCATTGGGGAGGTTTGCAGACATTTTAAAATAAATCTGATCATAGATGGATTCAAATTCAGTCTGTTCAGCATGGTCTAGCCAAATTTTGATCCACTTGTGGCCATCAATGTTTGACAGAAGTCTTTAGATCGATTTCTGTTGAACTAGAATGCTGGAAACATTTTGTTGATCAGCGGCTCCAAATGAGCGTCCCATTTTTAGGATACAATGTACCTGCAGGGATCATTCCTCCATCCACTGGCTGAAGGAAAATTTGCTGGCTGCAGGAAAATAAAATGTTTATGGCTAGCTGAAGTGGCACAGTGGGTGGAAGCTGCAGAGCTAGTTGGCTTAATATTATCATGCTGCAAAATGTATTGTAAATGTAGTCATGTGAATGCATGAAGTTATAAGTCACTGCTGGAGCTGGTTCTGGGTATTCACAAGCATGTGATGTAATTTAGCAATATTTCAGCCTTATAGAATGTTTTAAGGTATTTCATGCTTTGGTTTTAGCTTTGATGCATTCAAATTTGTTTCCACAAGGTAATAGCTAATACATAAACAAATGAGGAGCACTGAAGTGTATGAAGTGCATGTTCCTTGTGTATATATAGCAATACAAAAGTTAAGAAGGTATATTTTTGTCTCCCTTGAAGTCAGAAATGTTGCGTTTTCTTTAAGTCTGTTTAGGAACATAGAAGTCATGTGCTGTTGGGTTATACTGCTGCCTACAGGAGAAGTGGACATTGCCAACTGAAAAACTGTAGGCCAGCCCAGGATAACTCCTCCTTTGACCAATATACCTTAGTTTGTAGCAAGCAGAAACGAGAGCAAGATCATACACACAGAGGGGTGGGGCCCGTGTTCTTTAAAACATTTTAGAACAGAAATCCTTATTGCTTTCTTATTCATTGAGGGGCACAGAAAATCATACTCTATCAGGATGCCCAAATATAGTTCAGCTGAGGGTTGGAATACAGCAAACAAGCACTAAAAGGCACAAGAGAACAAACAACTGGCGATTGTACATAGTTTGAGATCTGCTTGAAGGAATTACACCCAAAGCTGAGATCGGATTAGGCCAAACCTTCAAACCCCCACTTCCCCCTGTTAGAAGAAGGCAAGACCAAGTGGCAAGTTGGTATGGGAATTTATCTGATGAAAGGACCATACCCTAGATCAGCTGCTTCATTCGGGATTCAATAGCTGAAGACCGGTGCTCTGACTGGGTTGTTGCATCCTCGATACAATTAATCCGTGCTAAGAAAAAGCTGGCCACTCGGTATAAGCTCTGATGCCAATCTTTATTGGCTACATTTCTAAAGACACAGTGTGTAAAATGCTAACGCATTAGCAGTTTACACACTGTGTCTTTAGAAATGTAGCCAATAAAAATTTGCAACGGAGAGTATACTGAGTGGTCGGCCTTTTCTTATCAGGAATTAACCTGATATCAGAGACATGGGACAGACACCCCAAATCATGGACCATGACTGGTCTTCCTAATCTGCCAGAAAGGTTGAATGAAAAACATTTTCCCAACAGGGAAGGAATCGCAGCCTTAAGCATGACTAACGTGAAGAAGAACCTCCTCTCCCAAGAACTGGGAGTAGACAGAAGAAGTGGAAAGAAAAGGAGACCAAAGCTGCCTTAAGCCAGAGAAGGCTCTCAGTCTCAAATTACTTGATGCCTTAGGTCCAAAAAAGGAAGCATATGTAAACTGACAGCCAGAGCACATGTTCCTCTCCAGGATGAGGACTACCTGGGAAGAACCCTGAGGATGACTTGATTCAGAAGTATCTTCAAGGAGAATAACAGGGGTCCCTTAAAGAACCAAGCATTGATACCATAGATTCGGCATGACTAATAGGCTAAGGTGCACAAAGGCTTTTTATACAAGGATTAGGCAAGGGATAGAGGGTAGATCTCCTCCCCTACATTGGAAGAAAGGAACTCTGATCTGACAGGGCTGAGGACCAAGCTCAGCTCCTACCTATCTTGCAAGGAAGGCATCACTGAGGCAAGACCTAAAGGATAACTTGCCAGGGGACCACTTGCCTATCCTAAATTGTCAAAGAGATGTTCTTGATTCCCCAGATCCAGTGATGTATCAGAGTCTGTGTAGCAATAGTCAGGAGTCTTATCTGGATGCAAAAATCATTCACCTGGGTTAATCTAAATCATGGAAGAAAGACTTTCTTCTTGAGTCTGTAAAACTACCAAAGGGGAGAGGCCTAGACGCTGGTAAACAGAATGCAGGGGTTAAATTTAGACGTCAGAGCAGTAGTGGGACAGTGATGAGTAAGTATTGGACCTGGCAGGTCATGTAAACTCTCGGGGAACAAACGGGAATGGTGGACCTGATGGATACTAAGCACATCTGATGGCCTTACACATCCCAAAGGTGACAAATGAGTTCTGTGTGGAACACTTTCTTTAGACTGAAAGAACAATGAATTATATAAAGAAAGAATTTGAGTAAGTGGTTATGTGCCAGTAAGATATAAGTCAGCCTAGATAACATCAAATATTAGAACAGATGCAATAAAGATCAGTATTAAAACAAAGAAACTGAGAATAGAAGGGACTTTTTGTTCCTATTGATATGCTAAAATGATTATTCTCCTTTTCGTGTGTCGATCTGAAATAAGCCAAACATGCCCTTGTTCAGTAAACTGAAATGATATCCAATGATGGGGGGGGGGCTGCTCTCCATTGCCATGCCTCGCTTTGAAAATTGGACACTGCCTTTTATGGGACGGCCTACTGGAAAGGAAGACAACCCCCCAAAAGGGAGAAGAAAAAGAAAGTAGAAAGGGGTACAGAATGGAAGGAAAGTGAGAGATAAGACCAAACCACCATCTGTTCACTGATGTAAATGGCGATTGCATTAGGCAGTTCCTAAAAGATAGGAAATCCATGGATGCCAAATCTTTTAAGTTTTTTTTGTCTGTTAGGATAAAGATTTCATTTATCATGATCCAAGATATCTTTGCATTAACCATATCAAATGGAATATTAGCAGACTTCCAGGATCTTGCAATGGTAATTCGTGCCGCTATAAATATGAAGGAAATTAGTCTCCTAACATGTCTCGGAGTCTCCTGCGCAGGACTTCTTTAGACTTCTTGCAGTGAGACAAGTGCACTCCAGTGATATCCTTCGTGACAATGTCAGGGTAGGTCGAAGAGATGTCTTCACTCGAAGTCCAAGCAAGTCACATGCTCATTGGATGCATTGTCTGTATCACTTTTGAGTGATTTAGCCCATTCTGCAGGTGTAGGGCAGGCCTGTCAGTGAGAACTGAGTTTTAATGAGGGTTTCTAGCTGTTAGTCAGAATCTTCAACTGTAAGAATGCCAGGTACTGCTGTAGTCCTGGTCCACACTAGTGGGATTCTGTTTTAATGCGATTTTTGTTGTGTGTAATTATACCAGGAGTTGTATGTGTTTTTCATGTGATTTTGCTTCTTCTGCATTTTTACATGATTTCAGACTACTACTACTGACAGTGAAGAGAATTAGGAACAATTGCACCAAAAATGCATGTACTTGCATTTCTGATGCATTTCCATTGAAGTCTATAGACCACAAAATTGCACTGCATTGCACCAAAGTAGCACAGGACACTTCCCCAAAGTTGCATTACAGCTGCACTGCATTATTTGAATGTCCGCCATTGAAAACAATGTTATTTTCATTGTCATGTAATTCTGCGTGACTCAAGTCACCTGTGAACCAAACCTTATTGGTTTCTTTGTTAAGATGAGACACTGACAGATCCACAGTGATTTTCTTTGCCGCTAAATAGACAAGAAAGAAATATAGCTAAGTGCATGTTTACAAAAAAATGAGGCGAGTACTGCGCTGTTGACCATGATGTCTTAGTTCTTCTACATTTTGTGTGCAGTTTCATGTATATTTCACCTGAACTGAATTATAGGGATCAGTTAATAAAAAAAAAATAAAAAAATACTTGATGAATGTCACAACATTCACCCAGCTGTCACGAATAATCACTGAAACTTGCTCAATGCATTTATTCCCGGAGAATACTGCAATTTGGGCCTTAGATGGAGCTTACAATCATAGCAAATACATGTATTAGGCAGTTTATGCTGATTATTCATGACGGTTGGGCAAATGCTTATCCAGCAGTATTTTTATACCTAGATCCCATAGTGTAACTGGGACTTCACAATACTGTAATGCTGTTTTATGCTGCAAATTAATATTTGTGGTTTTTTTTGTAGACCCAGGCAGTATTAAGACAAGCCTGGCTGGAGAATATACAGCCTGTTCTGGTAATCAATAAGATCGATAGACTGATAGTGGAACTGAAAATGTCTTCCCAAGAAGCATATGCCCATCTTCAAAAAATACTGGAGCAGGTAAACACTACATTCACAGGAGATGTGTACAACTGTTCCATGTATCACCTGCTGACAAAATGAACTTTTTGGCCATCCCCTTTATTTTTCAGGTAAATGCTGTGACAGGTGCCTTGTTCACCTCCAAAGTCCTGGAAGAGAGAGCTGAAAAAGACACTACTACAGAGACAATAGAAGGGGAGCAGGTGTATGACTGGAGTGCAGGCTTAGAAGAGACTGATGACTCCCACCTCTATTTCTCCCCAGACCAGGGCAATGTGGTGTTTGCCAGTGCCGTCGACGGATGGGGGTTTACGTAAGCTCACTTTCCTTTATTGTAACTTTTTATACCTTTTTCACTTAACCTCCTTGGCGGTATGATTCTTTCCGAATTTTTTGTGCTGAAAGCGGTACCATTTTTTTGCATGGAAATATGTAGTTTTTTATTGCAGGCTGTAATTTTTAGGAATAACTCACTGAAATCTGTACGAACAAGAGTCTATTAAACATTCCGGATATGATAAAATTTGAAACACGAAATCATAAATTATAATTTAATAAATAATCAGAAAAAATAAATAATAATAATACATTTAATTCAATAATATAATCAAACCAAAAACACTGAAATTTGAAATACAGAGGCAAATTCGCACATCGCTGAGCAAAGTCGCAAAATCGTTTTCAGTGTCTGATGACAAATTTCCCCACGAATCATTATCACTCAATTCTGCAAGTGGTTCTGATTTGCTATCGCTGTTCTAAAACCGCTTTTGACGTAAAGGGACGCTTTTTGAACACCATGGACTTTTCTAAGTTTCCAGGCAGAAAGAACATTCAAAATGCAGGCAGGGCACAGGACAAAGCAGTAGGGACAAAATATATGTGAAATGCATTGAAACAGCAATGACAGCAAAAATGCCATTTTTTAAAAATTTAAAATTTCCTGTTGGTTCCGGCGCCCGTACGTCCCGACGTCACAGGGACCAGAACACAGAAGCCGGATGCCAGCATCAGCCGGAGGAGATGGCCGGGGACGCTGCAGGGAACACATCGTGGGAGCGAAGGACAAAGTAAGTGCTGCAGGGACCCCCCAGAGCAGCGCCGCATGGTAAGCCCGAGTGTAGCTCGGGGTTACCGCTCTTGGTATAGAAATTTTACCCCGAGCTACACTTGGGAATACCACTAAGGAGGTTAAAGTGCTTCTTTGGGTTACTTATAGTCTTATGACTAGAAATTCGTGAAGGGGAAAAGGAGTGTAATAATTTCACATTTTTCTCCTTTCATTACTCCTATAAAATCAAGTCTAAGTTAGTTCCAGGAGATCAACACGGTGTCAACACCATTGGTAATAGAACATATTCCAGGTGTGTTCTTGGACTGTGGTTTTCGCATAGCAGATAAGAGTTACTGTAGGCGTATGCATCAGGGAAAAGTGTTACAAGCATGCAAGACAACGCAAGTTTATTTGTATGTTTTCTGGACATTATTGTCACAGGTTCTACAGGTTTTATAAATACAGGGTAACTATTGGGAAACCAAGCTTGAATAGAACATGCATTTATTCATAAAGTGGTACTAAAGGCAGAAGGTTTTTTACCTTAATGCATTCTATGCATTAAGGTAAAAAAAAAATTCTGCTAGCAGCTCCCCTCCCACAGCCTCCTTTACGGCTCATGTACACTGCAGCTGATAAACTCACATTTAGGAGCTGTTCAGCGTTTTTTTCAGCAGCCCCTAAACTCTCCCTAATGTTTTCCTATGTGTCCATGTACACATCTTCGTTTGCAGGCATTTGAGTTTATAGCCGTTTTTTTGAACGCAGACAACTTGCATTCAGCAGTCAGCAGTGTACAGGAACAGCCCCTCTGGTCAATTGGCCAAGGACTAATGTCCCGCCTACGTCCATATCCCCATAAATGGAGTACCCGGGCATTGGGCATTTGCGATTCGTACGGAGCTGGTTGATCGACCAACGGACTGCTGACTTTTCTGACTTGCTCCAGTCGCAGGGTAAATTCTGGTAAAGTTTTATTCTGTCTTTTATTCCCTTTTATTTTATAGTGAATAGTCATTTGTGTGTCTTCTTGTATTTTTTGTATTTCTGTACCTTTTTATATTTTGAACATATTTTATGCACTGCCCACTTCGGGAAATTAAATCTTAAAATGAATTAGTGACTTCTGTGTATTTAAGCACGTGCTCATATCTTCGAAGAGATTAGATTAGATTGTATTGTATTTTAGTGCCTTTAAACGCTCAGTCAGGCTCATTGCCAATCTGTATGCAATTGCACTGTGTGTGGGCAGATTGCGTGCAGATTGTAAAAGGTAGCAGATCGGCCAGACCGAGATCTGTGTGTGTGGGGTGTCCCAGCAGACCGTTATGCGGATAAACTGTTGGGTGGTGGCAGCCTACCTTTTTGTGGTGTGTCTGGTGCGTGGGGGTGTGTGGACAGTGGAAGGGTGATTAACATCGGGGTTCAAGCTGTAGGATAGTTGGAGGGACTCTAGAAGGGTGTGTAATTACTAAGCTGGTCCTCAGCTCTAATCAGTGCACCAGATTGTATGTAAGATTTGTATCTGCCCCTGTGTGGTCAACCAGCTGGATTGGAGTGGAGTCTCCATCTGGTGGTGGCCAAAAGGTAGTGCGGGCTGTGGAAGGATATCACGGCTGGTCTTATATATGGTTTTATATATTCTAAGTTAAGTCTCCTTTATTCCCTCATACCCCAAGTCATGGCCGCACGTGCGCGCCTCGGTTAGCTAGTCGCTGTGGGCGAGTGCATGTGGGGGATCCGTGACAAACAGCATATAGGTGTTGTAAATAATATTCCCTTTTGACATGCCTATGGTGTTTTAAATATTTTATTCAGACAACCTGCATTTTATCACTCTTGCATATTCGTAAGCAAGCTGACCTACACTTACAAAGAAAGACATTTACCTCTGAAATAGAGTTAGGAGGATAAAGAGCCTGCCAATTCCATTCTGTCAATCCTGTTGATTTTCCTTTTAATGTGTAAACATAGGTCTGTTACCTGCAACTTGCTGTCACGCTATTATTATACAGGATTTATATCGCGCCGACAGCTTGTTGAGCTCTTTACAATATAAAAGTGGGACAGTATAATTACAATACAGTTTAATACAGAAGAATAGGAGGGCCCTGCTCATGGAGCTTTCAATATAAAGGAAGGGGGGTGGTGGTACAAAAGGTGAAAGCTGCAGAAGATCATTTGATGGAGGTGACTCAAGTACAGTTTTTAGGTGCAGATTGGGTAGGCTTCCCTGAATGAATTCGTTTTCAAGGATTTCATAAAGGTGGACAGGGTAGGAGCTGACCAAACACACTTTGGTAGGGAGTGTCATAAAAGTCCTATAGGCGAGCATGGGAGGAGGTGTCAAGCGAGATATAGAGAAGGAGGTCTTGGGTGGAGTGGAGAGGACCATTTGGGTGATATCTGCAGATTAGTTTGGTGATGTAAACTCTGTATATTTTATATAAAAAACATTCATAAACATAAAATAGGCATGTCCTACAGTAAGAGATAAGATCAACAATATGGATGGCAGCTTCTCCATGTGTCAGCTTGATTTAATGTTGCCAGTTTCAGGAGCCTTACATTTTGCTTTCTTTCAGGGCTGTACGGAAATTCCGGTGGCCAAAACGTGATAACACCCCTTTTGGCCTATATGAAAAAAATACAGGTGCCAAAAAAACCCCCGCTCGCCGCTGCCGCCTCTCCTCACTGCCGCCCGCCTGCCGCTGCCGCCCGCTCAGTAGTTCTCAGCCTTACCTGAGAAACCATCGAACGATCCTGGCGCTGGGCATAGAGATGAGTGAAGGAAAGATGTTCTCCGCTCATCTCTATGGCCTTGGAGGACCAGAGCAATGTCACTTCTAGTTCCAGTTTTTTTTTTTTTTTTTTAAAGCACTAGATCAATGCTTTTTTTTTTTTTATTCAATGCTTTACATTGACCTTATTGACCCCATATCTCTCCATAAAGAGGACATCTCACTAAATATTTCTGTCACAAGGGATGAATGCATTTCTTGTGATAAAAATAAGTAATTACATTTTTTTTTAAAGGGACAGTACAAAAATAAACAAACCATTAAATAAATAATAAAAAAAAAAAAGTTTAAAGTGCCCCCATCCCCCTGTGCTCGCACGTAGTGGTGAATGTATACGGAGACCACGCCCACATATGTAAATGCTGTTCAAACCACACATGTGAGGTATCACCACGAACGTCAGAGCAAGAGCATTAATTCTCGCACTAGACCTCCTCTGTAACTTTACATTGCTAACCTGTAGACATTTTTAAAGCATCATTCATGGAGATTTTTAAGTACCACAGTTTCACGCCATTCCACGAGTGTTCGCAATTTTAAAGCGTGACATGTTGGGTATCTACTTGCCGTAACATCCTCTTTCATATTTAAAAAAAAAAAAATATATATATATATATATATATATATTGATTTTTAAAAACTACGCATTTCGGTTTTCGGCCAAGTGAATTTTGAATTTTCCTTTTCGGCACCAGAATTTTCATGTCAGTGCACCACTACTTTCTATGCTGTATAGCACTTTAGGAGGCACATTTAGGAACTACATAAGAATGTCTCCGCCTAGATGCTGACAGCACCTGCATAGGTTTAGCTTGGACCTTTCCATCACCTCTTCCTATGCGATTTCAGACAGCTAATTGTGGAAAACAGAATGCACATTTAGAAAGAGCCTGATTCTTTCATTTCTTCAGTTCTGGACTGGAAAACTAGATGTTTTCACGGGCTGCCTACTCTTTACAAGTGTGTGATAAGTTTTTTTTAATTATTTGCCTTGGTACTGTATATAAATAATTATTTAGGGCTTTTGGAACTTCTTGAATAAAGCTGGTATGTAGAGCAAATGTTCTAATCCAGACACATTCGGGCTGAAAGTAAACATGGCAGTATTTACAGTTGCTTGGGCATGTGATGACCGCTTTCAAAGCATAGGGGAAATGTAGGTGGGGGTTATGGATTATATGTGCAAAGTTGCTAGGTATGCTAGATTTTAGATGAGTGTATGTGTTTTAAAAAGAAAATAATCCTTTTAACTTAGATCTGCGTAACACAGAGTGTATACGTGCCGTATTATATTCATGTCCTGGTCAAATCTTTTCTGTGCAGAATGAATATTGTGAGTTACTCTAGCCCTTACTGTACTTGCATCTCCTTTTGCTCATGGATCCATACTTACTGGATTAGCTTCAATTTACCCTTTAACACAGAAATACAATTATTAGAATTACCATCATTATTTTGCATAATTGAAAAAAT